GGGAGGGGTCCCCACTGGGGTGCCTGGCAGCCTGGGTGAGGTGGCTGATGGCTGTTTGCAGCTGGTTACACCCCCTTCAGGGTGGGGGTCCCCACTGGGGTGCCTGGCCAGCCAGGGTGAGGGGCTGATGCCTGTTTGCAGGCTGGCCACAGCCCCTTCAGGGTGGGGGTCCCCGCTGGGTTGCCTGGCCAGCCTGGGTGAGGGGCTGATGGCTGTTTGCAGGCTGGCCACGGCCCCCCAGCCACCCAAACTCCCAGTGGGAGTCTAGCTGGAAGCAAGGTATCTGGGGATTTTATTTATTTATTTTCTATAATTGAAACTTTGTTGCCTAGAGCGGAGCCCATAGCCGGCCAGGGCAGGTGGGGAAGCTTGGCTTCCTCCATCGCCAGGGCAACCAAGCCTTCTGCTTTCTCCAGCTCTGTGGCTGCCGGCCACCATCTTGGTTGGGTTAATTTGCATATAGTCTGCTCTGATTGGCTGGTGGGTGTGGCTTGGGTGCAGTCAATTTGCATGTTTCTCTTTTATTAGATTAGATTTAGAAAAGAAAACCCTACATGATGGTCAGACTTGGAACTGAGACGGCTCAGTTAGGGCAAGAGCATCTAAGCAGCCCTAGCCGGTTTGGCTCAGTGGATAGAGTGCTGGCCTGTGGACTGAAGGGTCCTAGGTTCAATTCTGGTCAAGGGCACATGCCCGGGTTGCGGGCTCGATCCCCAGTAGGGATGTGCAGGAGGCAGCCGATCAATGATTCTATCTCATCATTGATGTTTCTACCTCTATCTCCCCCTTTCTCTCTGAAATCAATAAAAATATATACATAAAAAAATATTTTTTTAAAAAACGAGCCCTGGCCTGTTTGGCTCAGTAGATAGAGCATCAGCCTGCGGACTGAAGGGTCCCAGGTTCGATTCTGGTCAAGGGCATGTACCTTGGTTGTGGGCACATCCTCAATAGGAGGTGTGCAGGAGGCAGCTGATCTATGTTTCTCTCTCATCGATGTTTCTAGCTCTCTATCCCTCTCCCTTCCTCTCTGTAAAAAATCAATAAAATATATATTTAAAAAAGAGCATCTAAGCATTGAGATGACCTTAGCTTCATCAGCAGAAGATCAGAGCTGCTGCAAGCCTGGAGGGAGCCAAACGCTCCCAAGCCTGCTTGTCACCCACCTTCCCCTACTTCTCTGATTCTGAAGTACCCCATGCAGTGAAACCATATTTGTAGCACACTTGCTTATTTTAAGATGTATGCCGTACAATTTATATGTTATTGAGTTTGTGTATTAATTTAAGTTCCAGAGGATAATCAGAATTTCCCATGGATTCAAAATTCACATATTTTATTAGTGTGCATGTTAAAATAAGTATTGGAGACTATTTGAGTTCAGAGTTTGCATAAAAATTAGATGCATATATAATTAATATTTACAAAGGTATTTTGAGTGAATGCCAGTTTTTTTAAGTGGGATTTAAATGGTGGAGCTATTAAAACAGATATTAGCCCTCTTAAATTTGGACAGAGCGGAGCGCCAGAAGGAGAAGCAGTTATATAAGATGCCCTGGAGGCTTCTCCCTAAAACGGACTTTTTCTTTGGAGTATGCTTATTTCAATTCTCAGTGTCATCGTGACTTCTGATACAGGCAAAATTCCCCTTTAAAAATCCAACTCATCACTTAAAATATAAAAAGCCAATAACTTCTTCCCAAAAATATAAATGTGCATTTTTTAAGAGAAATTGCACTAAAAAGTAGGAACAGGAAAGTTCATATTCGCATGGAAATACAGAGTCATTAAATACAGTGCAGGCCCTGGCTGGGTAACTGAGTTGGTTTGAGAATCGTCCCAATACACCAAAGTTGCAGGTTTGACCTCCGGTCAGGGTACATGCAAGAAGCAACCAATGAATGCATAAATAAGTGGAACTACAAATTGGTATCTCTCTCTCTCTCTCTCTCTCTCTCTCTCTCTCTCTCTCTCTGTCTGTCTCTCTCCCCACCCTCTTTGTCTCTAACATCAATAAAAATAAAAAAGTGCAATTTCAAAATTCACTTATGTCATTAAGGAGCATAGAGAAGTAGCAAAGGGTTTAACGATTCCCAAGTCTCCTCAGCTAAAAAAAATACACTTGACAGTGAAGGGTAAATGTAACTTTGGAGTACCTTTTCCTCGACAGATGGCCACTGGCTGCCATCTTATCTAACATGTCACATGTGTGTGTTAAACATAATAGTTCATCACTTCTCACCAAAGGACAAAGTACAACATATGAAGCTCAGAGTGCCACATTTCCTGGTGGCCTCCAACTCCGTTTTGCTTTTCAATTTGAGGATCAAGAGTGACTGACTAGAAGGGTGGTGGCTCATAACCCATAAAATGATTCTCTGCTCTTTTCCTTCCTGGCTGTAGTAGTCATGCCTATCACTCCAAAGCATTCTCCTATGATTCATTCAATTTACCCCATCCAGTCCATCAGGAAGTGATGAGTCAAAACCCACTCATTTCAAATATAACATCTTAACTATAAAATAACCGTAGCATACAAATACTGTGAATTAAACACAGATACTATCACATGAAATTCAATGAAAGTTGAGGGAATTTAGTACTAACCAAACAAAATATTCAATTCACAAAATATTTTTTTAAAAAGGCCAACCATTATTTAGTTTTGACTGATCCCTTTCGAGAATTGTGGCATATCTTGTGTGTGTGTATGGGTTTTGTTTTGTTTTTTAGTGTGATCTTTAGCTTTTTGACAATCCACTATCAAAAATAATTATACAGGAATAACTGCAATAGTCATATTAATTCCTGTATCAAAGTATCTATACTAAACTCTTATATATTCATTTAAACTTAAAGTTTTTGTGTTTTTAAATAATTATTATTGATTTTTTTTTTTAGAGACAGATGAAGGGAGAAGGAGAGAGAGAGAGAAACATCAATGCAAGAGTGAAACATCATTGGCTGCCTCCTGCACACCCCTACCAGGGATTGAGCCTGCAACCTGGGAACGTGCCCTAACCTGGAATCAAACTAGCAACCTTTTGGTGCATGGGATGATGTTCAACCAACTGAGCCACATTGGCCAGGGCTAAAGTTTTAAGAGTTCCTAAAAATAAAAAGCTATAATAATTTACTTCGATAATTTTCTTGCTAAAATTAAAATGTTTGTTATTAAATATTTGGTAACTTTATTCATTTATTAGTATTATCAAAATGAAAGTTAGAAACAAGAATAATTGCCTAGCTATCAAAGTAGGTTTAAAAATAATTGTATTTAGATATCTTCATTTGTAATCTTCTGTCTGTAACTTTAGCTTTACGGAGTTATCATTAAACATGTCAATAGATAACAGGGTGGCAGAAAAGTGAACAACAGGTCAAACTTTAAAAAAAAATACCTTTAAGAGAATACTTACTTTTTTGCCTCCCTCTAAGAGGGTATATCCTGAGTTTTTCAATGATGTCAACCACGATCAAGGAAGTCAGAACCAGAGAGACTGGTAGGTCAGGCAAGGTGTCCGGCAAGCTATTAGCAGTACCATTAGCATTCTTTTGAACCTGTTGTCATAAAACCATTTAGAAGCATTAACTTTATATGCTTTCTTTTTTAAAAAAAATTGTTTTAATTATCTGAAAGCAGTGCTATACATTTATTAAAATACTAAAAGCTTGGTTTTCAGCTTCTCAGATATTTATCCCCATGAGGTTTTGAACCATTTCTAAAGATGTAATAAGTATTTATATCAATGGATGAGCCTTCAGTTCAAGGCAATACATGTGAAAATATAACAGCAGGCTTCTGGCAGTGGTAAAATGAACAATTCCTCCAAGCCTGCTGGTAAGCACAGCCTCTGAAAGTCCGATATCAAAGACCTAGTCCTAGCAGGACAAGAATTGGAGTTTAGGATCTTCCAAGAAGGGAGAGCCTAGGTAAACCCAGCGAGGCTTTGGGGCACTTTCTTCATCTGATTGAGGCATCTATTTAGAAAACACAGTGGCAAGCATCATATTAATGGTTATATGTTAAGAGTTTTCCCTCTGAGATCAGGAGCGAAACAAAGGTGCCACCACGACCATTTCTGTTCAACAGTGCACTTGAGGTTCCAGGAGGTGTAATAAGGCAGGATAAAGAAATAAGCAGTATAAACTTTGTCAAGAAAGAAAAACAAAATAGTCATAGACGATATAAGTGCATATGAAGAAAAATCCTCCCAAAATAAATTATTTCTACATACCAATAGCAAAGAGAAAATAAGATTTTTAAAAAGATAGCATTTAAAGCAACTTCAATCAAAATTCCAAGTTTTTATGGAAAGTGACAAGCTGATTCTAAAATGTATATAGAAATACAAAGGGCAAGAACTAGAAGAAAAAGAAAAAGATATGGAGATTTACTTTTCTGTTTGTAAAGAGCTATTATAAAGCTACAGGGATTAAGTCAATGTGGTATTGGCACAGGAATAGAAAAGTAGGTAATGGGACAGAACAGAAAATTCAGAATAGACCTGATTTATAACAAAAGCAGCAAAGTAGCACTTATAGAGAGATGTTGGAAAACAGACGTTTTAATAAATGGTGCATAGTCCATTGGATGTTATTTGGGAAAAAAATAAATAGAAATTGCCTCCCTACTGTACAAGATGTACAGAAATTAGCTCTAGATGGATTTTTAATCTAAAAGAGAATGGCAAAACAATACAGGACCCAAAATATAATATAGGAGATCTTCAGTTCCTCAAGATTCAGAGTCACAATATGACATCTTCTCAAACCAAAGCACTATCCATAAAGGAAAGAAATTGATAAATGGGGCTATTTTTTAAATTAAGAACCTCTCTTTATCAAAAAGATACCATTAAGAGTATTAAGTCACAGAACGTGAAGCTATTTGCAATACATATAATAAACAAAGGGCTTGAACTCTGAATATATAACAAAACAGATGAATTTATCTGAAGTATTAGAAGTTACGGGAGAGCTACTTTTAAGGAGGACGTAGTCATTGCAAGGAACATAGGATGGCCTTTAGGCAGCTGGCAAAGCTTTATGTTTTTACTTTTTTACACAGAGATTTGCTTTGTGGTATCGAATTAATATTGTATACTGATGTTTTGTGCACTTTTCTGTTTGTGTGTTAAACTGGAGTGGAAAATTACCTGGGAACTCACGGCACCTATACTTAATCTAATTGTCTATTTCTCTCTCTATTATCAGTAAATTACTGAAGATCAGAGTCGTCAAATTTCCTGAGGGGTCTATTTCCAGTAACTAATACAGCACCTGGCATGTAACATGCATTTAATGATATCTGGTCAACATATAAATGAAATATCACAAAATAATTTGAGCTGTACACCTTGGGGAAGTGAAAACTCTATCTTTCACAGCACCTTATAATTAATAAGATTAGGAGGGTATTCTTTTTTTAACTTCTCGGATAATAAATTCTACATCCAGAAAGTTCTGCCTATAATATTCTTGTTCTGCAGGCCTCCACCCATTAAAGCAGCATGTAGTCGAAAATATAAGTTATTTTCAATTATGTGTCATACACAAATTATTTGTCAATGGGTATATTATCAAAGGTCTTAGAGCAGCGGTTCTCAACCTGTGGGTCGCGACCCCTTTGGGGGTCGAACGACCCTTTCACAGGGGTCGCCTAAAACCATTGGAAAACACATATATAATTACATATTGTTTTTGTGATTAATCACTATGCTTTAATTATGTTCAATTTGTAACAATGAAATTGGGGGTCACCACAACATGAGGAACTGTATTAAAGGGTTGCGGCATTAGGAAGGTTGAGAACCACTGGAGAAGAAACAAATGTGGATCTATTTTCAAATTCCAAATCCTTGCTTTTAAAAATTATTTTGAAATAACATTCCTGCTTCTCACACACAAACACAGAAGTAATCTCTTTTAAATTGGCTTCTAGGCTTTCCTCCTTAACCATGGAGGTAACAATGACAAATATATATATTGCATTTGGGAAGAAGAATGGATAAAATAGACTTTAAGAAACGTGTTGGGCACACCACTCTATCAAATCCCAATAACAGGAAATTTTAGAATCTTGCATCAGAAGAAATAAAAATCCATACCTCAGTCACTGCTATTGAAAAGCTGAAACTGGGGAGTGTGGTGAGCACTACACACATCATCATAACAGGTCTCCTAGCAAAGGAGAAAAAAATAAGCAAAAGCCATAATGTACAAGATCAACAGTTCCTGTTACTTTTTGCTAATTTTGCAGTTCCTGTTCCATTCATCTATAGTTTTTCTAAGAAGCTACTGCTTCCCTATTTCCATTTCCCAAATGCTTGAAGATGGCAAAGGAGGACACATGCAACAACCAGAACGCTTTTCTAGAACAAAGGGTGAGAGATTTCCAAATAATTAACAAATCATAGACAACTAAAATCATCACAAGGCAAGACACATGACATGCACCGTTTTCATAATTCGTTAGTTAGGATCCTGTCCGCAAATTCAGGCTCTGGTGACCAACTGGAAAAAAGAACAGCATGACTTTTCAAGTTATATTATGACCCATGTTGTAAAATGTATTTTTCAAAAAATTAATTTAAGATGATACTTAGATACTTAGGGCAGCAGAAATTGAAAAAATGGATATTATTTAATTGAACCCAAAGAAATAATACATACATAAAAATCACATAATTTTTCAAACTTGTTTTTGAACCACTTATTAAACCTTTCAAGATCAATCAAATAGTTATGAGATGTAATGTGTATTTAATATTCTACCTTATAATAGAGACAATTTAAATATACATTTAGCATCATTAATTTTGGGGAAAACAAAGTATACTCAAAGGTTTCCTATCATGAAATATTTACCTTCTTTTTTCTTAGTTAAATATATTAATTACATGTTTAGCATATTGTGTATCTAATAACAAAAAGTGTTGGAATGGGTGAGCCATGAGAGCATTATACGGAGTGAAATAAATCAGTCACAAAAAGACAAACATATGGAATGCCTAGAATAATCAATTTCATAGAGACCGAAATGGTGGGTGCAAGAGATGCAGAAGAGGAGAATGGGAAGTTGTTGTTCAATGGACATAGAGTTTTAGTTTTCCAAGATGAAAAGAGTTCTGGAGATTGGTTGCACAACAATAGGAATGTACTTAACGCTACTGAACTGTGTGTTTAAAAGTGGTTAGGATAATAAATGTTATGCTATGTACATTTTATCATAATTAAAACTAATCAAGTAAGTAAGTGGATTAAAAAAAAGTGTTGGAGTCTTTCAAATGACTAAGAATTTCTCACTACTGACAGGCATCCCTCTAATTCCATCCCCTTCTCAGATGTTCTGGTTTAGACATAAATTATGGGGTGGGATATCCCCTCTCTCACAACTAGACCCAGTGCAACCTGTAAAATCTGGAGTATGATCATATTTTACATACATAGCTTTGCCTCCTTTGTGAGTCCAGATCCAGGTTCCTGCAGTACTCAGCTCTCTAAGACTGAGCAGCACATTCATAGAGTCCTCTTCCCAACTTGACCCCAGGAACTGTTCCTGCACCTCTTCTTTAGCTGTATTATCTCCCTTGATTATCTCAGCCAACCCCATTGCTTTCAATACCACACAATTGCCAATGACTCCCCAACGTATTATCATATACAGATGCTGGCTTCTATCCTTAGTTCTGGATGTGTATGCCCAACTATGTGACACCTCCATCTATTAGTAGACATTTAAAAGGCAACTGACAGTTAACGTTCCCAAAGAAGAACCCACATCCTTCTCCATGTCTGTTGTTACCATCCTCAAATCCTGTCTGATTTACTGACAAAATGCGTTTCGAATCCATCCTCTGCTAACACAGTGGTTCATATACTGTCATCTCTCATCTGCAGTATTTTCTAACCAGTTTCCTGTGAGTAACTCTATTCTTACCCAATAGCATTTTCTCCATAGAGCCAACAGTCATATTTTTAGATATAAAATACATGTTATCACTGCTCTGCTCAAAAATCTCCAATGCCGGTGTATGGGAGAAATGGGAAGTTATTGTTTGTTGAGTACAGTGTTTCAGTTTGGCAAAATGAAAAGCATCCTGTGAATGGATGGTAGTGATAGCAGCCTAGCAGTCAATTAAAATAAAATTGAAGCCTATAACCCTAGCCTACATACTCTATATGATGTGGTTCCTCTCATTTCTCCTTCTTTCATCCGTACTTAGAATGACCTACTTAACTCTGTCCATTCTGGCCTCCTGGTTATTTCACACAAAGGCTGCCCCACCTCCAAGTCATATGCTCTCTATTCCTTTTGCCAGGGGCTCTCTATGCATGGATCTTCTATGTCTGGCTTCTTGTTGTCACTTAAATATATAAACTACCTGAAATTCTGCTGATTAGTTCTTTACTTGCTTATTGTTTGTCATATTGCTCTTTGTCCATATCCAAGATGAGTTCCTAGGGAGCAGGGGCCTTATCTAATTGTTCACTACTTACTCTTCACTGTTTTTCAGCCATTTTTGTGCAATAAAACTTCTAGGACTCTGGAATAGCCTATAGAGCAGCGGTTCTCAACCTGTGGGTTGCGAACAATGAAAATACATCCTGCATATCAGATATTTACATTACGACTCATACGAGTAGCAAAATTACAGTTATGAAGTAGCAACGAAAATAATTTTATGGTTGGGGGTCACCACAACATGAGGAACTGTATTAAAGGGTTGCGGCATTAGGAAAGTTGAGAACCACTCAAATACATATTTAAAAAATAAAGTAACTATGTTAACAAAGTAATCCAAAACCTTAAAAAATTGATATATTAATAAATGTTCCTGTCTATAAACACAGTGTCTTCTTATTTTCTTTGGAGTGAAAACTGTAATCACAAGTGGTAACGGTAATCACTCATAATTTCAGGGTAGTGAAGATCATAAACCATATCTTGAATTACCTGCACAATTGTAGGGGACCCAAGATGGCGGCAGAGTAAGTAGAAGTTACACTCAACTCCAACCAGGACCAAACTGCAACTACAACTAAAATACAGAACAATCAACCTGAATAACCAACTGAAGACTCGCTGAGCAGAAGTCTTATAACCAAGGATTTACAGAAGCCACAACAAGGCTGGTAGGAAGGGCAGAGACACAAAAAGGGTTAGCTCTGCCCCACGGGTGATGGCTAAGAATCTGGAGGAATATCTCAGCTGCAAAGGCTCCCCCCTGAGGAGCACGGGGTCTCACTCTCACGCTGGGATCCACAGCCCAGCGCACCAGAGCCAGGAAGAGGTGCCCACATAACATCTGGCTGTGAAAATGAGCGGGGATTCTGTCTGCCAGGGAGAAACTGAAATATGATAGAGACACAGATGCCATCATAAAGGGCCCAAAGACAAAAACCTTGTTTGCAGTCACTCATCCTGAGCTCCAGTGGAGGGAGGGCAGAGTGGGCTAGAGTCATGTGAGAGAGACGGTTTTGTGGCTCTGGGGAGAGAGCTGAGGGCTCAGACACCAGGATTCCTGTGCTGAGTCCCTCCCCCCTATCACAGATGACATCTCTCTTGAGTGGAGCACTTCCCTCCATATGGCATCAGCCTGGGGGAATGCAATAGCACCACCCTCTGGGCTTCCTATCACACCACCCTGCCCTGATGAAGAGTCAGCTGCCTGGGCCAGGACGTAGAGGTCTGGGAAGACTCAGGGGTGTCAGTGACTGAGTTGTGTGGCTTTGGTGCAGAAAACCATTACCCCCACTTTCTGGTTGACCTGTCCAATGCTTCCCCCACATGAAAGATCCACTAGTCCCACACTCCCAACTCCAAGCGGCCTACCCTATTAAGCTTGGTCTACTAGCAGAATCTGGGACAGACTGAGTTGTATGGGGCCATTTTTCCCTCTCATGCCTAACTGGAGTAGAGCCTTACATTCAAAAAGGCCAAAACCTTGGTTTGTTTGGGCCTGGTAAACTCCGTCGGCCTCACCCTGATGACGCTTTGAGACCCTGCCCCATAACAAAGGTGAGGGGCAGTTAGACTTGGCACATCCTGGGACTTTTTCTCAGACCCCACACTGGCACTGAATTTGAACCTGTATCAATCTGGTGAATACCACTAGTGCCTACTTGATGATTCACTGAGAATTTACCTCATGAATACTGCCAGAGGATGTTTCAGTGACTAAGTCTAACAGGCTGCCGGCAAATGGAGGCAGGCTGAGGTGGATCGGGGAGCCTTGGGCCTTTTGCTGAAGAGCCTCTGGGCTCAGTGTTAATGGAAGCCAGCCTCAGTGAGCAGTGTGGTTCTTCCCACACACACCAAGGCCCAGCAGAGGCAGCCACAAATGGTAGATTGCTTTAAACAGATTGCCCTGAGCCAATCAAAAGCAGTGTCTGACATCGACCTGCACCAGAGTCTCTCCCAAGAGGCCTCCGAGCAGACACATCCACTAGCCAGCTTCCGACAATATCAGAGCAGGATCCAATGAGTTTCGCAAGTGGTATATCCTAAGTGAGATCTCAGGAGGCACCAGAACCTGCTGAGGCAAATTCCACTTCATGTGATCAGCACCTGTGCAGCAACTCGTACACTGCGGTCAGGCTCGATCTTCACAGTCAGCAAGCCTGAGGGTCAACCCCATACACAAATGGGCAATAGCAATCAAGACTCAATTACAACAGGAGGGCTCACATAACCCACACTAGGGATATTCCTGGAGCATCAAGGTGATCAAGGAGACTGTGTTCCTGGGTCCCATAGGACCTACTACATAAGGCCACCCTACTGAGACCGGGAGACATAGCAGATCTACCTAATACATAGAAACAAAGAGGTAGCTAAAATGCAGAGACAAAGAAGCATATCCCAAACAAAAGAACAGAATAAATCTTCAGAAAAAGAGCTGAATGAAATGGAGGCAAGCAATTGGTCAGATATAGAGTTCAAAATAATGAAATTGATGCAGTAATTTAAAAATAAACCCCAAAAAATCAAACCTTCCAACAAATAAAAGTTGTGGACCGAACGGCTTCACAGGCAAATTTTACCAAACATTCAAAGAAACACTAACACCTATCCTCCTCAAACTTTTCCAAAATATTCTAGACGAGGAAAGACTTGTAAGCACATTTTATAAGGCCAGTATTATTCTAATTCCAAAACCAGATAAAAAGACTACAAA